GCCGACACTTCCGCCCTATCTCAAAATTTTAGTTATACCATAATTTCAAAAACAAAAAAAACCAAACTTGCAATCTCGTTTCGAAAATTAGATAAAAATTATAAAAATTCTAAATTTAAAAAAATCTCCGTTGCACCCTAGTTCGATTTATTTAAGTAATGTTCATACTTCTATCCTAATTCGAAGTATCTAGTAAACGTTAAAATCATACTCTTTTTTGGAATATGTGGAATCAGGGGCGGACCTAGGATTTTTTCGAGGGGGGGGGGGGGGGGCGGATTTTCAAAAATTTTTCGAAATTTTGACGACTTTTTTTTTTTTAGGTTTTGACCAAATTGATTTTCCGAGCTCTTCTAAAGCACTAAAAGGTCCCTGTTTTAGCCAAATTTCAGCGCCGTAGGCAAATTTTTGAAAAACAGGTCAAAAAAGCGTTTTTAGGCACTTTTTGAAAAATGTTGACAAAAAATCGCGTTTTTTTGGCGCGCGCTCCCCCTCAAAGTTAGGTATATATTGGGCGACAAAGGCGCCTTAAGAAAAATTTTAGGGTCGGTCGGCAAAAAATGGATTTCTTAAAAAGTACCAAAGGGGGATCCCTTTGAGTCGGGCAGGGGTCGAATCCCTGAGGGGGGGGGGGTGTGCCGCCCCCGCTTCCCCTAAATCCGCCCTGATGTGGATAATGATTTGAGTTGCATCCTTATTCGAAAAATCTAAATATAATCATCTTGACAATCTAGCTTAAAGTCGCATTGCACCCTAATTTGAGATGCCTAGCTAAAGATCGCAGTTGCACTCTGATTCGAAAAAACTAGCAAAGATCAGCCTAATTGGAAGTGTCTAAGAAGTGTCAACACCGCACCTTTTTTCACCTTATTTTTGCAGTATGAAAAAAAGTCACAATGGTACCCTAGCCAAAGACAATCCTAATTCAAAGTAACTTGGAAATGTCACAACTGTATCCTTTTGAGATGTCTAGATAAGATCACAGTTACTCCCGATTCGGAATTATCTGAGAATGTCACTTAGTACTCTTTTTTACTCTAGCCCAAAGTTCACCCATCGCAGCATCTAGGAAAAATCACAATTGTGCTCTAAACAAATATCATTCCAATTCGAGTACCTGGGTAACGTTACAGTATGCCCCTTATTCAAAATATCTGGATAAAAATCGAGTTGTGCACTTTAATTTGTAAAATGTACAATACGACTACAGTTGCGGACATTTTTCTTCCACCCTTTTGGAACTATTTAGGCCGAATAAAAAATTTTCCAAAAGGCGCCAATACTGATTTCAAAGTGCGGCGCACGCTCCAAAAAACAAAACTGTTTTGGCAAAAAGCTCCCAGAAAGGCCAAAAATTGCGCGTGTGACTTTTCTACAAATTGTGCCTGGAGCAGCAGAAAAATATTGGGTCTTTTTCAGGGGCGGATCTAGGATTTTCTCGAGGGGGCGGGTTTTCAAAAATTTTCGATGATTTTGTCGACCTTTTTTTAGGTCAACCAACGTGGTTTTTTCGGTTTTTCGAGCTCCCCCAAAGCACTAAAAAGCCTCAATTTTGGCCAAATTTTCTGCGCCGCAGGCATAATTTTGAAAAAATAGGCTAAAAAGACGTTTTTAGGCACCTTTTGGAAAATTTTGACCAAAAAATCGCGTTTTTTCCGCACGCGTTCTACCCTCAAAAATAGTGTATATTGGCGTAAAATTAGTGTAATTTTTGATTGTCCGTCACCAAAAATGGATATTTCAAAATAGTACAAAGAGGGACCCTTGGAGTCGGCAGGGGATCGAATCCCTAAAGGAGAGGAGCGCCCCCCGCCCCCCTAAACCCGCCCCTGGTCTTATTGGTGTTTTTTGACAAGCTCGGAAAATCAATTGGATCCCATTTAAAAAACATTGGAAAAATGTTCCCCTCCATCATCCCCCTCGAAAAAATCCTAGATCCGCACCTGGTTAAGATCATAAGGGACCCTTTTTTGTAATACGTAGATAAAAATTACAATTGCAAATAAATTCGAATCATTTAGGTAAAGATTATAAATGCAGGATATCGATGAAACGCCCTCTAACCTTGTAACGAAGCGGCTCGAATGTCGGCAAACTTCGGGTTTGCAGGGCAGGTTTTCAAATGTGAACTAGATGAGTTTACCTGGAGCTGAAAGAAAGATGCACCAATACGCAAACCTTGGTATTCGTGAACAACATTATGATGTCAGTAATATTTATTACCTTATTATTTGTACTAATAAAATTTCGACAGGTCACTGGCTTATTGACATGCAAATATGGCACATTTCAAACTATCCACAGCCCACTTTATATCAATTTATGGAAAACCATTTGCAAATCGCGCGTTAATCAATCAAACTTGACCTATAAGCAATTAAGAAGGTGACATAGTCAATGTTTGTTTTAGAATTTCCCTAATAATACTATCAACTAAAATCATAACTTCTGATTACAAGCCAGATTTCAGTTTGAACTGCATCAAACTCATATTCACTCAGGCTTTTCATAACTTTTGTGAAGTCAAATCTGCACTTTTGCTTTAGTTTTGTCCAAATTTTATTTGATCTGTTTATCTGTTTTGACAAAACTCAATTTATCGACCCATTTACTCGATATCTTTCTTTAGATTCACTCGCCGTCTAGTAAGTTTAACCCGGTCAACTCATAAGTGATATAATTTATTTTAACCCATTTAGAACTCGGCAAGCTCAGTTTGTTGTGTTTCACCAAAAACTATCTGCAATAAGGTAAGGGCAAAACTTTTTCATCCATAAAGAAAATGAGTTTTACTGAAAAATATAGTCATTGTCCTAACTTTTTTTATTCAACTCAAGAGCAATATTTAGGAAATCCATTTTATGGTTTCTACTTATTATAAATTAAGTAAATTTTTTCGTCTAAAAGGAGAAATTTTGGTGGTATTTTTCGAAATCAAAGAATCCAATTGACGTAATATTGTTGAAGTTTGTGTGAATTGCCGCTTACGAAAACTGTTCAATTTTTAGGACTGCTCTGCAAAAATGGACTCGCAAGGATCTTCTGAAGCTACTGTTTCGACCATGATCGGAGTTTTTCACTACACCTGAGAATATTTGTGAACGCCCCCCCGACCAATAAATGCTCCCAGACGATGGGGGGAGGAGGAGGAGGGGGAGGAGTTATATACCCCCGACTACAAACTTTGATAGAAAAAGTGCAAAAAAGAATGGCAATCTGAATGAAATTGGAATTTCAAACAAATCAGGAACAGGAGAATTGTAATCAAATCGATGCAGTTAAAATCAAATTTTTCCATTTGGGAAAAAACGTTGATTGTTGTAATTAATTATTTTCGAGGATAATAATAAAAGGTTTTCATGATGCTAAGCAGGGATTAATTATTTTGTACATTACTATTCATATCGTATGAATAATCTCAATTGCTGTAACTTTACTCTTATGTAATTAATTGTATTTTGAAAAACATTTCTTGGTGGCCATTAGCTGATATTCAGCTATGAACAAGTATAAACTGTTTGGATTGTCGAGTTTTCCTTACAGACAAGCCAAAATGCTCTTGTTCTAAATTAACTCTCTCGTATTTTGCTACATTTCCCCAAAAACAAAGGCTGATGGCCTGCTTAAACACAAAACTAAAACTTGGTAAGAAAGTTAATTCGTTCATGAACCGTGTTTCATAGCTATAACGGAAAATAAATATTTAAAGAATAAAAAAAATCATTCCTCCATAGAAAATTAAAATTGAAGGCGTGCGCACTAGTCGCGTTCCGCGACATTTTACCCACCCAGGCAAAAAACTTTTAAAAAAGTTTTTTTTTTCTATTAAATTCCCTTAGAAACAAGCAAGCGAAGAAAGAAGTGAGAGCATTAAATAGCGACAAAATCAAACACACAAAAGAAAAAATCAGTGGCAACAGAAACAAGCATAATGCTTCACGTTTACAAGGATCCTAGGAAGCACTCTATTATAACCAACTAAATTAAATTCTAAAAACTGTATTGCTATAATCTTCATCTGGGAACTTTTTCTTGATTTCAAATATCGTTAAATTTGACTTCAGAAACAAAATTTTAATCGTCGAAAGATGTAGCTCATCTTCGAAATTCATTAACTCCTCATTAACTTTTTTGAGCTATAAAGTCTTGTTACCAAATTGTCTTTTTACCAAATCAAATCCGCATGCAAAGTTTAGATTATCTAGTTTGTAAGCAATTTTAAGCAAAATATTAAAATCTTAACAATCATAATAAACATAAACAACTTAATCATTACTAAAAAGCCAATATTTGGTTTCTAAAGTAAACAAAAATATACAGAGCGCGGGAGCCTGCTAAAAAGTATACGTTACAAGGCGTGGATATCAATGTTTTTTTTTAATGTTTTTTCTAAAGAACTCCCAAAAATACTGGCATTCAAAAACACTGCTAATTTTTGTAACCCTGACCTAAAATGGTATACTTTAGAAAATTGGCCCTTTTTTCTATTACTTTCCGACGCTCGGTACGCTTAAACCGCTATATTTCGATCCCATATACGAACGATGCAACGCGTTTCATAATCAAATGTTCGTTACACACAAGTTGAGAAAAAATGTTAACCCTAAAATCAAGAACAGGAGAATTTTTATCAAATCGATGCAATTAAAGTCAAACTTTTCCATCAAAAAATATTGAATGTTGTAATTAATTATTTTCGAGGATAATAATGAAAGGTAATCATGATGCTATGCAGGGATTGATTATTTTCAAAACTTAAAATTATTAAACAATATAAACAATTTTAAATTTTTTTTTCCCAATGTCGAGAAAACAGGTTTGAAGATTTTGATTTTTTGTCTTCTTTTGAGCAAAAAAAGTGAGCGAGCAGCAGTCTTTTATATGTTTAAAGCTTACAATAGCTTAATTTAAAACTTAAGAATTTAGTTTTACTTGAGAAACGTTAGTTTTGGAACTTGATCTAAACTACATTTTATAATTGGATAAATTAGATATTTTACCACTGTAAAATATTTAATATTAACCAATCATAATCCATCCAACTAACAACCCACTTATTTGTAAGTGTTGAAATTACTTGTAATTTCAGCACCAGAGAGATTTGAATTTAACTTAGAAATTAGTTGCCTCTCCTAGAGAACTTCAGCGGACGCAATAAGCCAGTATACTCTAGATCTATTGAGCCTAGCAGAGACTAGTTAAACACCCTGAGACTAGTAGATATAAGAGTAAGATTAGGAACGGTATTAGACTAAGAAGTTGCACGAATCTATCCGGCCGAAAATAAGATAGCGTGACGAGCAGACGGTGTACCCTATCCGAAATTACTCTATGAGTTAACCTCAAGGACCTAACTCATCTGGTGCGACCATAAGTCTCGAATAAGCCCTTAATAGCTTAGAATTAACCAAAAGTAGATTAGAAATTAGACAAAACATTTCCAAAATGTTACACGATAATAACTTAATTGAAATGTCTCCACGACTCAATAGATCAGAGCCGATATTTCGCACAACACTAGAACTACCCGGTACTGGAAGAAGACGTCGGACAAGAGACGACATACGACTACATAGAAACTTACCAATTAGTTTCATGGTTGTACGGCAAAAGCCAACACAAACTTTTATATTTAGAATCTTACTAGCAATGAATTTAGATTTTCATTTGCAAACATAAAATTTTGAAGGAAATCTTTATGATTATTTCAGGCGCTAAACAAAATTACTAGTGTACAATAACGATTGATAAAAAGATCTCAGATCGTTTTCTCAACTTCTGCAGTATTATACAAAACATATTTATTTGGAAAAAATTTATTAAAAAATAAAAATAAAAATTAGTAGCATGACAATAAATTGTTAGTATATATAAATCATTATGTTGTTCCAGCTTCATCACCCAAACATAACAGCAATCATAAGCTAACTAACATCATAAAACACTAAAACTTTACATTAAATAAATTTAAACCACTTTAAGCTTAAATTTACTTAATTTTAAATCAGATCATCAAGGCTTATCCTTGGATCTTAATAAAAAATTTTAAATCATTAATTTTAATTCTGATCATCAAGGCTTATCCTTGGATCAAAAAGAACACTTTTGTTCTCCCCCACCCACTTATTAAGTGTCTAACGACCTCAAACGTCGATTCACTACCCAACCTTTTCAAAAGACCCAGGACTAATGGAATTTTTTAATAACACTAACCATTCAAGTTAGGCTAAACAGTGAAGAACTTCGGTTATTCATCCTTCACTTGAACCCTCCTCTTACCAGACCCAGGATAGATCTTAGACTTAGTAAGTTGAAAATAGTATCTAGCGAGCTACTCGTGTTCTAATTATACCTGAACCTTATGGATAAATTTACTATTCTCCAACCCTTGAACACAATCACTACCCCTAAGTAAGATTAAGTAAGTTAACACCTTAACTTAGACTAGCCACGAGAAAGTAAAAAATCATTCTCCGGAATTGATATTCTTTTCTCTCCAACCCTGAACAAAAAATCCAGGTTAAGCTAACCAAAAAATCGTAAGGACTAACAGTCTAGGAAAATAAAAATCACTAATAACTTCTAGCATCCCTCATCCTAAACCTTCATTCAAAAATTTAGGAAATAAATAAACAATCGTATTACACAATTGTGAAACAGACAACCAAAAATATGATCTTGTAATAACCCCACATACACAAACAGTTGGATACATTCGAACAAAACGACAGACAATAAAAAGGAAAATTATAAGCAAACAAAGACAAATCACACAAAAAAGATTTTCAAAAAATAAAAACACATTTTCCGAATCAGAAACCAACAGTTTAGACGAACTATACAAATTAAAGGAATCAATAAATAAAAATTGCCCCAACCATGATCAATTATATTTTTCCGATTCAGAAACAACTTCAAACTCACCAAAAAGAAGAAAAAGAAGAATAAAAAAGCAATTTAAACACAAACCAGTACACCTATATAATTGGAATCAACCAATTAGACATTTTGATAGTTATATATTAACAGTCATCAAACGAAAAAATGAGCCACACTCAAAGTGACGAAAGTCCAGATGAAGAAGCAGTTTTTCCCTTTCTTATAGATTCACTCTATGATAGAGGACAAACACGATTTTGTAAAATATTACTCGTAAACTTATTTGAACCAGGAATCAGTCCATGCAAAGCAGAATTCCCGATATAAAAATTAAAAGACAAATTATAGAACATTATCTAAAAGACATATGTAACCTAACACAACAATACGGAATCTACACTATAGAATTCAGCACACCACGAACAGCTCATAACAAATATGTAATTCAAACAGACGATATAGATTTAGAATACATTAAAAACATACAATATCATAATTCACAAAGAGCAAACTTAATATTTACTAAAGAAGTTTTTGCAATAGTATATAGTTATATATCTATATTAGAAAAAACAGAAGTTCAAAGCACGTCACCAACCGAAACATCCAAACATACAAAAGTAAGAAACAAAATCACAGTATTTTTTCATTATTTTTACATATAATCCGTGAAAATTTCAGCAATAATGATGTCTCACAAAACACTAAACATGATTTGCAAAAAATTTTAGCATGGTTTAAAATTGATTATTTTACCCACAACCTAGATTTAATTTCACAAGCAAGAAAAAATTTCAGACCCCAAAGTACCAATGACGACACTGTCATTGCCGAACAATCAATTTACGTTTGGGATCCTGAATGGTCTCATCCAGCAAGTATAAATATTCCACAAGATATATCGAGTCAAGCGATAAGTACAATACCTTTTCACAGAGATTATGTAAGAGTAATACCATTAACGATTGACGCAACACCATTAAATTATAATACATTTTTACCTGATACACGAAATAACAGTTTAAATTCAACAGTCATACATAATGAAAATCTCATTGGAACCATAAATCTTACACAGCAAGATATTCAAACACCATCACACTTCATAAATGAAGAAGTAGTCCAAACAACAGTAACAACTACACAACAAAGTATTTCACCAATGCATCCAAATCTCACAACACCAAAAAATACAAATATATTACTACCACAGGTAACCTTACAATCAACCGTTAAACCTTCGGTTGCTCCAAAATACTCACATATGGACTATCAGACACTTAGACCAATGACAAAACCGTCAAAAACACGAAAAACGTTCACAAAAAAAAACACTTTTGCAGAACACAATTATAATTATGCACACCAACAAAAAACAATTCAAACCCCCGAAAAAATACAAATAAAATTTAAATCACGTATGTTCCCATTATTGGAATCTCCTAAATACATCGACCAATTCAGTAAATTTTCCAGATAATCCACACCCTCCACAGGATTATAGTGAAAATTATCCATTTTTTCAACAAAATAAGAAAAAACAACAAACACCTTATAACACAAATAACTTATCATCTGATGACGATGAT